TCATTGGAGAAAAACCACAGTACCCTTTTGAAGGAGTCCCTGTGGGTGCAAAACTGGTGCGTTTTCAGCATGTTCAAGAGACGGGGAAGCCGGTTGCTATGAAAACTGCAGTTTTTGGGGTGTTTAGAACACCTGAGGAGTTTTTGAGTGAGGCCCTGAAGCTTCGACACCCCTTTAACGTTCCCATTTCTGGCGATGTGGACAATGTAGAAGCGATGGCAAAAGTGCTGCAACTTGGAAAACTGGGTACAATGAAGTTTAGACTTCAACAGGTACAAAAATATAGGGCGCTTGCTTCTTCTTTGGATTCTGCTGAAAAGCCACTGCATGAGAACATGGCGGATGACCTGAAACTGGTGATGGGTTCAAAGCGTCTTTTGTTGTTCAAGCAAATGATGGAGGACGCAGACATTGTTGATGACCAGCTGTTCAACGAGATGAAAGGAGGCTTCAGGCTTACTGGTCAACTGGAAGCTTCAGGACAGTTTAAGCCGCGTTTTAGGCCTGCAGAGATGTCCGTGGAAGAGCTCAAGAAATCTTCCAAGTGGGCTAGGCATGCAGTAGTTGGATCCTGCAAGCGTGTTGGTGAAAATTTGGAAGTGGCACAGGCTGTGTGGGAAGAAACGCTGTCACAGCTGGATTCTGGTTGGATTAAAGGACCTTACACAGCAGAGCAACTGGACCATAAGTTTCCGGACGGGTGGGTTCCGTCCAAGCGTTTTGGCGTTGTTCAGGTGCCGAAAATAAGAGCAGTTGACGACTTCAGTGAGTTTTTGGTGAATGCCGCTTGTGGCACTGGAGAGCAGATCGTTCTTCAAGGACTTGACGATGTTGCGTCTGCGGCAAAGTATATGCTTGGAGCGCCAGGGGCTGATGGATCCATTTGGCTGCCATCCCCTGAAGGGAAACACCTCTGTTGGGGAAACTATGACGAAAATTGGAAGATGGAAGAGCTGAAGGACTTGCAGGGCCGTGCATTGGACTTGAAAAGCGCCTACAAACAGCTTGCCAGGTCCCCTTCAGATGACTGGTGCTCAATACTTGCAGTTTGGTCGCCGGAACAGAATTGCGTGTGCTACTTTGAGTCGATAGCCCTACCTTTTGGGGCGGTAAGTGCCGTGAATGCTTTCAACCGCGTGGCAAGGTGCCTGAGGTTGATTTTGTGTAGGCTTTTCCTCCTCACCAATACTTCTTTCTTTGACGATTACTGCCAGCTTGAGTTTGGACCTTTGTGCGACTCGGCATGGAGGACGGCTGAGACGGTTTTGAGTTTGCTGGGATGGAAGCTGGCCATGAGCGAGGAGAAGCGGGTTCCTTTTGGAAAGAAGTTTCAGATGCTTGGGGCCATAGTGGACTTGACTCATGCAGCCCAGGGTATGGTGCAAATTTCTAACAAGCCTTCAAGAGTGGATGAGCTGCTATTGACCGCCGATAAGCTGGAGCTGGGCGAAGAAGTCACAGAGTCGCAGTTACAGTCATTACGGGGCCGCCTGCTGTACGCTGCTGGGAACACTTTTGGCCGGTGCACTCAAGTGGCTGTGCAAGCCCTAGGACGGATTGCTCGGCGTGGTACGAAGGTGACTTTGGATGAAGACATGGTGAAATGTGTTAGGTTTGCAACAGAGACCCTGGCGGAATCTTTGCCCAGAAGGATTTTCTCCTGGAAAGATGAATGGCCGATACTGGTCTTCACCGATGGAGCCTGTGAAGATGAAGGCGCAAAGGTAACGCATGGGGCAGTGATATGTGATATAGCAACCCAGTCCTTCTTCTTTTTCGGGGATGACATCCCGACAGTCTTCGTGAATGAGTGGACGAAAGGGGGCAAGAAGCAGGTTATTTTCCAAGCGGAGCTGTTTCCAATTTGGGTGGCAAGTTACCTGGAAGGAATTGTTGAGTTTCCGTCAGGTCATTTGGTTTTGTGACAACGAAGCTGCTAGAGCTGCGATGGTGCGTTCATACTCTCCCTTGCTTGACAGTATGCAGTTGATCAGAAACTGCGCCCACGAGGATGTGAAAGCACAAACCTTGAACTGGTACGCTAGGGTTCCTTCAAAGTCGAACTTGTCAGATGCTGCATCACGTTTAGATTTCCGGTGCTATGGGCCAATGGGCTTCACAAAGGTGACGCCGCTGTACTCCCACGATTCCTTTTGAGTGGGGAGGTAGGCGTGGGACAGACCTATGCCGTATCGAAAGCGATGACAATTCCCCGCTTGAAAAAAAGGATGGCAGAATGGGAGCGAGAGTGAATCCATTTTTTTTGATCTTGGGTGCACACTTTGTTTTGGCAGACATGTGTGATGCAGTTATTTGTCAGTGATGTGGGTGCAGTCTGTTTGTTTGGTTTTTGTTTTGTTTCGGATAAGTTTTAATGCGTAGGTGCGCGGTAGGTTGAGGAGTAAACGCGTGCAATAAGCCAGGTCTCACTTGTGATACCTCTTTATTGCGTTGCGTTGTTAGCGTAGTAGTACGCGCCTCCTCTTTAACCTATGTTGCGCTCTGCGTCCTGCGTGTTGCGTCACGCTGCGTTTGGGTTCTCGAGATGGGTTCTCACAAAGGTGAACTTGAAACCCAAAACAACTGAAACAACTTTACCTGTGACGTTTACTCTGCAAAGGTAGTGTGTCACTGTTTTAAAGGTAAGGTTTTCGTTTTGTTAAACAATGGTTTAAACAAAACAAACAAACAGTGTTGTTTTTCTTTTACGTCGGTGGAACATCTTGAAATGTCACAATGGTGGCCATTTCCTTTTTAAGGGTGGGTGGGCGGGAACGTCCTTCCCCACACGCGGTGGTTGACCCCCCCCTGGGACAGACCTATGCCGTATCGAAAGCGATAACAATTCCCCGCTTGAAAAAAAGGATGGCAGAATGGGAGCGAGAGTGAATCCATTTTTTTTGATCTTGGGTGCACACTTTGTTTTGGCAGACATGTGTGATGCAGTTATTTGTCAGTGATGTGGGTGCAGTCTGTTTGTTTGGTTTTTGTTTTGTTTCGGATAAGTTTTAATGCGTAGGTGCGCGGTAGGTTGAGGAGTAAACGCGTGCAATAAGCCAGGTCTCACTTGTGATACCTCTTTATTGCGTTGCGTTGTTAGCGTAGTAGTACGCGCCTCCTCTTTAACCTATGTTGCGCTCTGCGTCCTGCGTGTTGCGTCACGCTGCGTTTGGGTTTTCGAGATGGGTTCTCACAAAGGTGAACTTGAAACCCAAAACAACTGAAACAACTTTACCTGTGACGTTTACTCTGCAAAGGTAGTGTGTCACTGTTTTAAAGGTAAGGTTTTCGTTTTGTTAAACAATGGTTTAAACAAAACAAACAAACAGTGTTGTTTTTCTTTTACGTCGGTGGAACATCTTGAAATGTCACAATGGTGGCCATTTCCTTTTAAGGGTGGGTGGGCGGGAACGTCCTTCCCCACACGCGGTGGTTGACCCCCCCTCCACACCCCCACCGGCGTGGGACAGACCTATGCCGTATCGAAAGCGATAACAATTCCCCGCTTGAAAAAAAGGATGGCAGAATGGGAGCGAGAGTGAATCCATTTTTTTTGATCTTGGGTGCACACTTTGTTTTGGCAGACATGTGTGATGCAGTTATTTGTCAGTGATGTGGGTGCAGTCTGTTTGTTTGGTTTTTGTTTTGTTTTGGATAAGTTTTAATGCGTAGGTGCGCGGTAGGTTGAGGAGTAAACGCGTGCAATAATGTCATGTTGTATGAAGTTAATGTCCACCCTGACATTATTAAAGGACCCGCTTGCATTCGAAATGCAAATGGCTTCAGGATGTTGGCGACATCCCGCTCTAATCACGGGAAATGCCCGGCCATCACTTTCATCCACGTTGAAACGTAGAGACGGTACAACCAAGTGAGGTTAAGTATGCAGGTGAGATGATTTGGAAGAAGAGAAGGATAATTTTGATGTCGGCCTGCAAATTCCCTAAAATGAACAGCCTAACAAGCTGTGAAATCCAGACCTTAGAAATTCAAATCGAACTGATGCAAACACAGTACGGCGGTCAACAGAAACCGAAGTCAACAGTTCAGTTTATCAATAGCAGGTACGTGATCGAGGCGTCACTCAATCATATTTTGACGAATGGCTGGAACTTCGTTGGATCAGGCCAGGCCAAACGTCCCTGATCCCCCTGCTTGATGACACGAATTATCCATTAATACTGCATGTGACCAGCAGTTTACACACAGACAAAGTGCACGCGCACAGGGAGGATATGGGAGTGTGCAGGAGGACGGCGGGAGGAGGAGAAGGAGTGGCGGATTGCGAACAAAAAATTAGAACCCCACATAGTGATGTGGGGAAAAAACACGCAACCGGTTAAAATTGTCACGTTAAAGATGCGTCAAAAAAACCATGATGGCAAAACATAACATGTCCAGAGACAAAGGTGTATATATATATATATACATACAGTATATATATATATAAGTTTTTATTGTCCGAAATGCGGGTGTTTCGGCATACATCCTATATGCACATCATTCCATTTGCCCTGCTTACTTTTACATGTATTTTGCACAGATGCCAAGTGTTGGTTCGTAGGTATGTCGTTGTTTTCCAAATAGTTGTTTCCACAATGGTCCAAACGCAATACAATCACTTGCAGCACACATGGAGGTGTTGTCCCTGAAATGGATCGTGTATTGATTTTCCTTTCTTGGTATTTTTGAATTTGCAACATGGTGCAACTTCAGTCCATCGCAGCATTGGTTCATTCAAAAATTGACTTGTGGCATTGCAAGGGCAAAATGATGTGACACTTGTTTTCAAAAACAGAACACTTCACTGATTTTTATCGTGGGCAAAGGAAGATGCTTATGCGCTGATGGTGGAGGTGGTAATGAAATTTGCAGTGTGGATCTTGTGCACGTGTTGCGATGCAAAATCACATCATGCACTTGGCAATATTTGGCAACCATGCAAACGCAGAGGGGCAAACTGTGCTGGATGTACGACGACACAGCGCCTCCCACCATCGCCCTTCCAACCTGGTTGCTGTCCATGCCGCCATGGAATCCACATCCCAGCAGCCATGTGTGATTGGTCATGCTGCAAAACACTCGGGAACGAACAGTGTTCGCTTTCCAACCAAAGCGGCTGCCAAAGGATGTTGACAGGCCACAACGGCATTGTTTAGTGCTTTGCGTGGCCAATTTCATGCCGTAAAATCAATCAATGGTTTCGATTTTTGATGATGAAATTGAAAATCTCAGCGTCGTGTTTGTTTGTCATGTTTTAGTGTTGTTGCATAAAGTTGCCAAATTCATACGCAAAACATATGGTTTGATGTCTGCGGACCTTCCACGGAATTTCAACATGGACAGGCTCCGATTCTTCCAAGGCTCCATTGTCAGGAAAAAATCTTTAGGCGGGCAAAATTTTGTTGGATCGTTGCAGTTTCGTCAGGTCAAAGTATTGTACTTTCTTAATTTTCTTAATACCCGTCTGTGCCTTCGTTCAATTGAACAGAACAGTGGATGCACAACTGCAAGAGGCCCCAGAGGTGATACTGATGATGAGGAGGAAAGTGCCAAGGTGTGGGAACCATGACTCTGAGTCCCCATCTTTATCACAATTTTTTGGTGCGAAATCCAGGTCAATAACATTGAAGATGGTTCGCGACGTGGGCAAACGCAAACTTCTGAATATCCAGACGGACAGAACCCAGTGCCTTCCTCAGAAACCTGAACCATCGATGTTTTTGAAGAACTGTCTGGGGAATGACATAGAATGAAGAAAAACATGGCCTTTTTGTAATCGCAAACTGATCGTCAACAGAACCCCGTGAATAGTGTTTATGCAGGAAAATCACGCAGAGAGTGAATCAATATTGCACTATTAAGAGATCAAGGTCTGCGGTCGGTTTGTTTCCAGCACACCACTTGCATCCCAGAGGCCCTTTCATGTCATTTCCCAAGCTATGTTTCATGGGGCCATTTTGCACCAAACCATGTTCCGTGTTTGCAGTGTTGACTGCTGTTTGATAGCCCAAATTGCTACAGTTTCTTTAACATGAATTGTGCCTTTCGAATTTGGACTTTATGAGATCATTCTCGTACCAATGTTCATAGATGTGCTAAATTAATAGAGAACATCCTCATTGTAGTCATTCTGATTTTCAATGGTTATATTTTTCTAGATGGTTGTTGTCCTCCTTCTCATGATGGTGGTGATGATGGTGATGATGGTGATGATGGTGATGATGGTGATGATGGTGATGATGGTGATTATGACGACAAAGATCACGAACATTGTCAACATCATTGTCTCTGAATTTGTATCATGATCACTGTAAATCATCGTAGTTGCAATCAATTCTAGTCATAGTCGTTGTTTTCGTGATGGCCTTGGTCGTTGTTTTCTTGATTGTTTTCGTCATTATCTTCGGCATATCATATCATTGTCATTTTCAGCACTTTCTTTGCAATGTTCACAGTTGACTTCACAGTTGACACTCTTATATATCTTCACAATCCTAATTATGATAGTGTTGCTAGTGTCATCATTGTCCTGTCGTTTGAAACCATGCCACTGACTGAAAGATATCGCAACGTTATATGATAATAATACTATGATCTGGACACCTTGTTACTTGCGCCGCATGCCCGTTGCGTTACACCTGTACAACCCCGATCATCAAACAGTAAGAGCTTTGGTCCACCTTCTACCCCCCCAAAGTGGACAGCACTATCTAGTGGAAAAGATCCTCTTTGTGAAGTTTGGGTCATCAATTTGATTTACCAATTGGATTTGCACAGTTTAATACCCGTAAAAAAGTACGTTGTTTTTTTTGCATTATGAAATTACAAGAAACCACATCGATTGTTTTCATCTATGTCAGCAACTTGCCAGATACAGTTGGCTGTTGCTTGTGAACGTCAACTGATTTACCAAGGTTAGATCTGCTAGAACTGCATTTCGATCCGCTTCAGTCAACGATTTGAGGAGAGCAGTAATTGCCCACAAAGGAACAAGACTGCATGAACCAACTTCGCTAGCTTCGCAGGACAACAGTGCTGAAGGAAAGGGAGCGAAAAGTTGATGAAGGACATCTTGCATGGACAAAATTATTTCACCAAAAGGTTTGATGAAAGAGATCTCATGAGCTCATGATCTCACCCTTCTTTGTTGAAGGCAGCACAAGTGCAAAGGATCCTTCGCCACGCCGATTGCAACTCTTTTGCACGGCAGAATCCCAGTGAATCCCGTGCGTATTTGCGTCGCTTTGTCCTGAAGCCGTCGCTGCAAGGCACACATGCGTCTCAATGTCGTCTATGCCCTCTGCAAGACGGTCTGAGGCCGCCATTGGAACGTTTTTACTGCATCTCATTGGCCTGATGAAGCAAGCACAGTTTTATCTTTGTTTCCTGGAATACACAATACGAAAACTAAGCTAAGCATCTACAACTGAAGTGGAAGGCTGCAATATTTATCGTGGTGATGTTGTCCGTTTCACAAGCTCCACTCCCATGGGTGCCACTACAAGCGTACTCATACTCTGGCATATCCAAACCTGCAAACCGCCAAACACTTATGGGAGGCTTTGTATGATTTCCCAGGGGCGCTGACCTTTGAGGTCCCGCCTCCGCTTCCTGCTTTTCCGGGCGCATGGAAAATTCAGGCAAATCTTGTGACCCATGTCATGTCATGTCATGTCATGCTATGTCCCACTATGTCATACTTGTTGCAAAGTCGACTTATTCTGTCATTTTTTCTTCCACCAACAAAACCTGACTCGCAAGACTCGTATTTCCTCCGACAGATTCCGACAGTCAAAGCTCTACTGACAGGCTCCTTTGGGAAATCAGACCGACCGTCCGGGGCTGCAGGTATTTGCTGTGCTTGGGGGTGAATCGCAAAGTACCTAAGATTTTAAAAAAACAACATCCATTTGTTTGTTCTCATTGCTTCGCATGCGTGCCCTTTCCATAAGGTGGTGCTTCAGCAGAGGCGAAACGGTGAAGTCCTTAGAAGACCGGTGGTTTTCGAACCCGTTTTGTGCGAAACTGTGGCGGATGCTTAATCCAGCAGATCTAGTTGCACGTTTGTCCTGATTATCTTGAGCAGACGTTTGCACAACCAACTTGGGCAGATATGCTGGTTTTGTTGTCTCCTCATTTTGGCATGTCTTCCTGGCACGCGCATGACTTCTGATGATGGTCCTTGTTTGCAACTGGGAGCTTGCCAAGAGAACCTGTGGTCAGAGAGATTTCTTGGGCACTTCTAGGCTCTCTCAAATTCCCGACAGCAGTGACTGTTGGGTTTCAATCTCTGGGTCTGAAAGTGGTGCGTCGCTTTTTGCCGAGCCCAAAAGCCGCGACGGAACCGCAACGGAAACCCGGAACCCTTGAACCTGTTGGGCTACAAAGCTTGGTTAATGTCTCTCGTGGTGCCTTGCTGCGTGTACTGTAGTAGATGAAGATTTTGTCGGTGGATTTCGTGGGAGCTTGCTACAACATTTACTCCCTGTATGCAAGGCTGCTCTCTACAAGCTACAGCTCTGTTCAGTTCGGTGGAGCAAAGTTTTAGCAAAACACGCGTACACAGGAGCGATTGCTGAAAGGGTGCCTTGACACTTCTGTTTGTAAAGATCAGAAGAATCTCCCGCGCAACTATGCAGCATATGCAAGTCTCATTTGTTTGTGCGCCCTGTGCGAGCGTTTCTGTCAAAACCTGGCCATTGCAAACGCGCTCTGCGTGGAAGGCCTGCAAAGTGGCTCTAGGCCCTCTAGGCCTGTTCGATGAAATGTGCAACGCCAAAATCCCGAAGTGCTGAAAATTCTAAGCCTGAGCACTGAACATGGCATGCGTGCACTGAATTGCGACACGCATATTTTGCAAAGAACAATTCTTGCAGTGAGTGCACCTGGACCCAGCATTCTGTCACAAGAAGCCTTCAGTTTCAAGCAACTTCTCCTAAGTTGAGGGCATTTGGCAAGGTCAGAAGAAAAACCACAAGCGGTTGCAGCTGCAGGGAAGGCTCGGAGCTGCAGAAGTTTCGTTCCTGATCCATGCTTGAATTTTACACTGGGAGACTGCAGGCACTGTTCGCAGCAGCATTGGAAGAGAGAAACTTGGCAAAATATGTTTGCTGATGATTACACTTCAGAAGATCCTGATTGGAGATGTAGTGATTGTGCTTGATTTGCGTTAGTCCCATTGTGTCAATAACCTCAAATGATTTCTTTCTTGTTCTGATTGTCCCAAAAGCATGCAAGGCGAGCCGGTCCAAAAAACTGGCATGCTTCGATCACCATCAATGCCCTTGCCCCGGAGGCACTTGTTCTGCGAGTATGGACAATGTAAAAAAACAACTACTAATCGAAGGAAGTTTAGAAGTCAAACTTCCGACAATATGGACAGATGAAAAGCAGAGATGGGAAGAGTCAGCGAAGAGAAGAGAAGAAAGAAGATCAAAAAAGAGAAAGTCTCAGAAGAAAGAAGATCCAGGTGCACGAAAAGGTAGAAAAGCCGCGAAACACTGTGTTTTTTCAATGGTTTGTGGTTCCGGAGGGTCGAAAAGTAGGCTTGCTAAAGCGGCGGGTGCGGAGCCATCTGGCTAGATGCGAGATGAAAAGTTGCACGCCGTTGCGGCGCGAAGCACATTTCAAAGTCAAAATGTTCAAAGCACACCATGTTCGGACCACTTTTGGAAGTTGAGATGTCGAAAAAGTGCACGCCGTTGTGGCGTGAAGCACATTTCTAAGTCAAAATGTACAAAGCACCTCAGATTCGGAGCGCTTTTGGAAGTTGCGCTGTCGAAAAAGTGCACGCCGTTGTGGCGCAAAGCACACTTCGAAGTCAAAACGTACAAAACACACCAGGTCAGGACAACTTTTGGAAGTTGAGATGTCGAAAAAGTGCACGCCGTTGTGGCGCGAAGCACATTTCGAAGTCAAAAGTAGAAAAAACTGAGGGGTTCGGGGCAGTTTTGGGCGTTCAGATGTCGTTTTGCGTGGCAGGCGCAAGGGATTGCGCACAGTGTTAAAAGTGAGCAAAACACATGGGTTTTGTAGCATGTCCAAAAACGATGGCAGGGGTGGGACACTTGAAGAGGATCTGCAAAGATGCATTTTCCGTGGCAGGTGCAGTACAAGAGACATGTTCATCAGAGCTGTTGGGAGGTCCGGGCGCTGATTTCCTGAGAGGGGTTGCATTTTGGAGCATCAGATCTTCAGGTTTGCTGAGATGATGCCTGACAGGTGCAGCACATTGTATGACTTTTTTTTTCGTGGCAGACGCAGTAGTTTAGACAGATGGAGTCGAACAATCGCAAAACGCATTGGTATGAGGCCGTCAGCTCTGCACTCAACTTTCCATTTTTGAAGGAAGTCTCGCAGAATTGCTTCGTTTTTGATGTTGTCAACTTAAAAAATGAGGAAGTCTCGCAGAATTGCTTCGTTTTTGACGTTGTCAAGTGCAAAAATTGAGGAAGTCTCGCTGAATTGTTGCGTTTTTGATGTTGTCAAGTTCAAAAACTGAGGAAGTCTCGCAGAATAGCCTCGTTTTCAAGCTTGCAGATAGATAGACAGACAGACAGACAGATAGATAGGTAGATAGATAGATAGATAGATACGGTAATTAGATGAGAGAGAGATAGATAGATCGATAGATAGATAGATAGATACATAGATAGATAGGCATGTAGGTAGGTAGGTAGATAGTCAGAGAAAGAGAGAGAAAGAGAGAGAAAGAGAGGAGACCTTAACCACCGTTCGGTCCATCAGTGGTTTCGCTCTGCCATTCGTGATTCGCAACAACCAACCTCTCCTATAGGTTTCCTATTTTTGAAACTTCCGCCACCGCCTTGTGCGGTACTACTGGTAGTTTCAATAAAAGTAGAGTAAGAGAACTCTGTGCTATCAGCCGCATCTATAGTATTTGAATGTATTTGACAATTTGTGATGTTATTCCAAAACATCTTGTGCTTTATGCTTTTTGACACGGACACTCACGCTCACGAATCCGAGAAAAAAGGACGACGCTGTAGAAATGTACTTGCTCCTAGATGCAATCGCAAAAAAATTCCAAAAAGAGATTACTTGGCGGTCAGAAAGACAAAACATGTATTTAACCGCCTTCGGCGTGTTCCGCCGGCCACCAGGAAAGAGATATTCTGCAAGCCGCAAACGGCAGTGTAATACTGTATAACGTGGTTTTTGTGTAAAACAACGCTTTGTGTAAAAGACGGTTTCGATGCAAAAACACGGTTTTTGTTCAAACCACGGTTTAAGTTTAAACCAAAACATGTGTGTACACCAGGGTTGTGGATAAGGCCACATATAAGAAAGGTTATGTTTGCAAAAAGTGTTCGGCACAAAAACCAGTGGATCAAGTATTGGACATAAGAGGCGACGGAGCAAACCGATGGGAAACATAACAAGAAAGACGGAAACAACCATCGAAATGACAGCAAAATGTGCAAAACCAAGCCGGCACTGAGCGAGGCGTGGGCAGAGTTGAGCCCAGCACAAGGAAAGATGAAGACGAAACGAAGATGAAGAAGAGGGGGGGGGGGGGGGGGGGGGGGGGGGGGGGGGGGGGGGGGGAAGGGGGGGATTAGGTGCAAGTTAGACGAGGCAAAAATCCGCGCATAGGGAAAATGCCAGACAGAGACAAGACAAAACAGACAGTACAACTACGAACAAACAAGATCCACAAGACACGCCGGCAGGCAGGCGGATTGGTATTGCAGTATTACATGTACATTTGCAATCTTGCCATTGTGCATATAAGCTGGCTGTTGATCATCGCTTTCTCAAAACCATGGTGTCACGAGCTGCTCAAGTGATATGAAATGCTTGCGATGCATTTACACAAATTGTGCATCATGATGCACACATGATGCAAACATGATGCACACATGATGCACATGTCAATTTTGGCGCGTTTGATCCAGGCCATCCGTTCCGCGAGAAAAACGCAGGCCAAGGCCTCAAAGAGCGTCTGAAGAAGTCTACGAGGCCTGGCAGTGAAAGCTGAAAAACATGTAAACCGTTTATATATAGCATTTTGCAACACGCGACAATGATCAACAATGATTACTGTATGGCATGCTGCATGCTTTAATATGCTTCAAATATCTTCAAGTAGCATGGAAGATTCAAGACGTAAGACCAGTGGTTTGGGGAAGAATTCTGGCGCGGGCTGCGCTCAGGTGGAGTCCGCTTGCGATTCTGGTGCATCTCTGTCTTCAGGTGGTACTTCTTGGCGGGCCCATGCGGAGGCACCTGTGAAGCTAATGTGAAGCCAAGATACATCTCACATTAGGTAAAAAGATTAAGTCAGAGATAGACAAAGGACATAAGTAGGACATAATCTTGTTTGGATCTTTATTGTATTTTATTGTATCTCGCAGCAAAGCAACATGTCTTCCAATGTCTTCCCGCCTTTTAGTTGTGAAGGCTTGTGCTGCCGGTCAAGGGAAGGACGATCTCGGGCGTGATGAAACCAACCACTGTCCAGATTGTCCACCCAGTCTCTCAACTTCAGCCTCTTCACAAGAGCCGCAAGTTTCTCGCGCACCACTTCCGCCTCCTCTACCAACAGTTCCTCCCGGTCCGCTTCGACAGTTTCAAGGCATCTTCTTTTGTGAAGCAGAACGCTCATGAGCTGATTAGCCGGATTTGAGATGTTTCTATGTGTTGTTTAGTCATCCAGTCTCTCTGCACATTCGCGGCTGAAAGGTTATTCTTCTACAACTCTTGTAGAAGCCGCATCAGCGCAGGCACGGCATTAATTCATCAAAGTTTTTGAGTTTATTCTTTGTCTAAGGGGCAAAACTTGACTGGCAGACTGTAAACCTCAGTTCCACAGAAAGTCATGTGATTTTGAAGCTGAACCTTCACAAGGTTGCTAGCTTCATGTAGACTCAGCGCTGTTCCGAATGCACAGATTTTCAGTGAATTATGAATTATGAAATATTATATATGTCAAACTTCCAAACAGTTTGCTGTGAAGAAGACTCTCGGACAAACAGTTACAAAGCTGAGCACCGGAAATGCAATCTGAGTTCTTCGCATTTTCAATTCGTAGGCTTTGAAATTCCAGAACATTTCCCGGACATATCAACAAAGCATCCTTTGTCACGAGCATCCTTTGTCACGAGCATCCTTTGTCATGTTTTTTTTTAAAGCATTTGTGCTGTTGTGTGCTGTGATGGCATGCCGTCAGGCAGCACTGCTCAGCCCTGCTCCGAGCACTCGCCGATCTTCGGGCTGTGAGTGAGTCCAAATCTCAGCATCTTAGTGTCAAAGTCCAGATGTCTCACAAAGCAAGCTCTGCAAACGCAGATGGCATGCAAAAATGTGCGACACAAACTGGACCGTTCTGGACACCAGCAAGGCTTCCGCGCGAGGTCAGCATGAAGTCAATCTTGCAACCTCCCTCCTGCTTTGGCTCTGGGTGGACTCCCAACACTCCAAGGTACATGCTAGTGCTCACTATGAGATGCATGTGATATTGATAGCGGTCTGGTTAAGGTGCGAATGCCATCTCTTTATGGTTTATTTTTTCACATTTATCTCGATCCATAACTCATAACATAATAATATATATAATAGTCATATACCGCATGGGTTCATACCAAACAAATCCAAACAATATGTTATCAATGAGAGCTTTGGGGAGCGAAGGCTTGACAGGTATTGTCTATCTCAGGGCTTTATTGGAGCTACATGTGCAGCACATTCCTAGACATTGTAGTGGATTTCCATGGATTTCCCGTCCTGGATCAACGGGAAAGCTGAAACCGGTTGTCCATGGCCGCGAATTTGAGATCGCTGAGACACATTGACAGGCCCACATGAGCTGTGTGCATGTGGATTTGGATGTGTTTGTCAATTGTCAGTCATGTCTTGAAAGCTCTAGATAGCCAAGGCATGCCAAGGCAAAGTCTCACTTCACCACATGTACATCCCACTCTTCAAAGCTAACGAACACACAGTCCAAACAGAAGGAATTCAGAACTTCCGGATGATGAGTGATCACAGGAGCATACTTGACGGATGATGCTTGTGACACAATTTTCTACATCGAAGGTGTTCAAGAATCCCTTCACAAAGAGGTGCGTTACTCAACATTGCAAAACTGTTGGATAGATTGCAGCCAACCCAATAATGTAATGATTCAATCAACTCCATCATGTCTAGCTTTGCAGTTATCTCGAGGATGGGTTACTGGCCGGCGCTTCTTCAGCACTCCCAGCTTCCGATTTCTGGCGACTGACGTGTCCAAGTTTTAAGGAGTGAAGTTTCGAAGTTTCCATGGAATTTAAATGAATTTAAATGTATTTAAGATTTCGCCAGGTGATGAAGTGCCGAAGCATATTGGTTTTGCTCCCCGCTTTTTTGACTTCAAGGCCACTGGTTGTGTGTATCCGAAAGCTCCGCATGATTATGCATAGTTTACTCTTGCTTACAAAGATCCAGCTTTCCTATTTGTTGCCCAGGCTTTTCGAAAAGCGCCGGGAACCTTAGATATTCTCCGGTGTACGTTCAAGTGCCCCAAGAAAGTGATCCAAGGCTCAAAGAGAAGAAGGAAAGCCTTTCTGAAGCAGAACTTAGAGAGGCGCGTTGCTGCCATACATGTCTCACATTCAGCTGGATTTTTCCTGTTGCATCTCTTGTTGCATGTTTCTGCCCTAGGTCCGCCGGGAATATGCTCTTCCCCCACCTGAAGGCGAGTTGGAAAGTCCTAGCTAAGGAAACAGACTGACGAGGACCTGTTGCAAAAAATGAAGAGCAAGTGATACACGTTCCCACCTCGTGTTCCATTAAGCAAAACAGATGGGAGCTCCTTGTCGGCCCCACCTTCATCATGCCATGTGACCTTGTAGAATGAAGACAACATTTGTATGACAAGGGCTGTGCGATGTGCATCTGTGTGCAGAGAGCATTAGACAGTATTCAGGACACTGTCAAGTCATCAACTTCTACTTGAAAGCCTTTTGGGGTCAGCAGCATTCTTTCAACTGTGCACCCAGCGAAATGCTGAGAGAATATGAGGGGATTTTGACCCTTGGGAAGTTGGTGCCATATGGGGTTTTGTCTCAAAAGAGCTTTAGTACCTTGACGCAAGGCTGGACAATCCAGAACTTTTTGGAGCACATGAAATTTGGGGATGGAGCAGAAGATGTTGCCAACCTCTTTGAGAAAGGATCTTAGACACGCAACCGAAGTGTGAAAGTGATGGATATGTCACATTGTGAATACATTGTGTCATTATTCAATATTATCTGTCTATTCCAGACAGATTCAGTGTCACTATCCTCCTGAGGCACTGGAAGGATTTCATTTCAATGTCTCCTCGTGACATTATGCGAATTCCAGCCGTGCCCCTAGCGGCTCTGGGACTTGGAGGTCTCTTCCCATGTTTTTCTTTCAAGGACATCACAGCGGAACAAAGACGCAAGCTGGACAAATACATTACTCTTTTCAATCATGGTCCGTCGCTTAGTTCCAGAGTCGGGACAGTCCATTCCGGAAGATGGCCCTGGCAGTTTCCGAGGTCTGTGGCCACGAGTATCTGCAGATATCTTCAAAGAAAGATTCAACGGATCTTTGGTGTCTGATCACAGTCTTGGGGAGCTGTCAAGTCAGACGAGCCTTTGCTTTGATATCTTTGATCAAGAGAGGCAACTTCCTTCTTGGACCGTTTAAGGCATTTGAAGGAAAACCATGGACTCCTCAAGATGACCAGCGGCTTCTTGAATTGGTCAAGCAATGCCCTTGGCACGCAGATCTTGGAACCCGTCAAGGTCTAGTGAGAGAGAGAGAGAGAGAGCGAGAGTAGAGAAGCATCAATCAAGGAATTAAGTTGACTTGTTGTCCCCATGCAGATTGGGGCAATTGCGAAGATCTGAGGAAGCGATGGAATTTCAGTTTAAAAGATCCTGACTGTACATGCTGAGGCCAGGAGAAGAAGGGGGCTACGATGTCAACTTTGGAGATCCATGGACTCTTGACGAAACAAATTGTAAAGAGCACACTGCGCACACTGCATACACTGCATCATGGCTTCCTCCTTTTGAGCAACTCCAAGCCTAGATTCCAGGCTCTACATTTCGTGGGAAATGCAGAGAAGGGAGGACTAGGGACTGAAAGATGGGTGAAGCAGAAGCATAGTGTCACTTGACAATCATGACCTGACCACTGACTTTATTGACACCACACAGGACGACGTGCAGCAGCGCTACGTCGAGCTTGTTGTGAAGCAAAGAGAAAGGAAGACACAGCACGAATTTGCAATCACGAAGGTGGGGCCCTATGCAACGGACAGTTTCAGTTTTTTTTCCTGGGGGAAGAGTTTGCATTCTAGCGTCCCAAGATGTTGGAAGAAACACGACAAGAGAAAGTGAAGAGAGCAACTGAGCAACTGCAACTTTCTGGCCGTCCGAAAGGCATCAAGACCCCTGCACATGCACAGATCGCTGCCAGAATGCAAGGAGAATAAGGAAAATTGAAATTGAATTGAATAGTTTTGAATTTCAATGTGTAGAGCGAAAAAGTCTATGTGTTGGGTTCGCCGCCTCCATAGGGAGTAGTGCATGCGCGCACAAATGTGCTCGAATCTTCTCGAAGCTTTGATTTTATTCAAAGAAGCATTCACTGTTTGGTTTGGACGGCTGTCATGCAATGAGGCAATGAGTGAGGTAGAAGTCTTGCAGTTGTCGGTGGCTGGAACATTGTTGGCTTCACACTTGCTTGTTTCCACAGGTTTCGGATCATTCCTGCAGATCTCTACATAGTGCCTTCGGAGGACCAGAGAGGATTGTTTTCCACTCATAATTAAAGAATGAATTGTGGCATGTTCGACCTCCAACCCCAGCACCGTTTGCAAATTCCAGCAGGGTGATTTTGACACTCATGTGGAGCTGTTCTGTGGAGGAGAATTTTCCATTGGCGGAGACGCTTGAATTGAATTGAATTGGATTGTTCCAAACAGAGATGGCATTGTGTGTTGGCTGTTAGCTGATTCTATTTTGAGGAACTCAAATTTTGGAAGGCTTTGGCAATTTGACCTTTGGTGTGAAGAAAGCAGGAAGAAAGAAACACTACTTGGCCAGACAGATAATGATCACATGTTCTGCTGGAGTATCATGTTCCCAGGAACCATTTCGAACTACCGAACGCTTTCCAAAAGTACCGACAAGATGATATCTTCTGAAGGCGACGCAACATTGAGCTCTTTAGTGGACTTCTATGGACTGCCGTTTTGAAGTTCACTGCCTTCGATGCCTAGAGAGTCTGTTTGAGGCGCTGCCAGATGCCAGATGCCAGATGCAGATCAAAAAATTGAGATCAGCAATGAATGCACTGTGCATTTTTGAATCACATTGCTGATACTTTTGCCTCGGTGCACAGTGTTGGCGTCTAGAATTTTCCTCTGGGCTATCTGGGGCCTGCTTTTCGGCTGTCGAGCACAAAGCTGCACTGGACCGCTTACCTTTGTAAGACACATTACATTATATTACATTATACATCATTATACATTGAAGTAGGCCCGCCACTACTTTCTCAACTAGATCTACAGAGTGCACGATCACGTACGATCACGTACGATCACGTACGATCACGTACGATCACGTACGATCATTGTTGTCTAAGCATGCCGCAAGCTTTAGTCAGAAGCTGGGAGCTACAATTGTGTCCATCGTGCAATGCCAGGGGTAGAACATTTGGCTAGAAAGGCAACTGTATTTCCTCATGACCCTCATGGTGGAAAGGATGGATCCATGGCGGTCCGATACGAGACATCGCTTCGTGCTTTGTGTCAGCCCTGGATTCCACTTTCAATTTGGATCATTTGGCAGAAGGTGGTAGCTTGACAGGGCTTGACAGGGCTTGACAGGGCTTGACAGGGCTTGACAAGTGAAATCTATGGGATTGCAGTACTGTGGTAACTGTGGTAACTGTGCCTGCCGATCTCTGGTAAGGCCAAAGATCTTGGTGTCCCTGGGACGATCTCAGCATTGGGAAACTCGGCCGAGTTTCAGACAGGGCTCTCTGACCCTAGCGGCCCCAGCTCTTGAACTCATGAACTCTTGAACTCATGAACTCAATGCTTAATCTCAGAAAGTACAACTAGGCACAGCCACTGAGCCCAATGCTATTTTTTGCACGAATTCAAGAGATGTTGCAAAGTTGCAAAGTCATGCAAAGTATTTGTGGTGTGATGTGGTGTGGTGCTTTATACTCGTGCCTGCTCGTCCCGGTGCCTTCAGAAGCTGTCAGGAAGATGCTATCCTGGAACTGAATCGAGCGCAGAAAGAGGTCACGTAGCTGTCCTGAGCAAACATAGCTACGAGAACTCCACCAGATGCCCAAATTTCACTAAAGGAGAGGCACTCAGATTAACGGGTATACAATGTGCTATTGCCGTATTGCATCTCATACGTCTTATACAAGCACGGGTTTTGCAGCATCACGAGCATGCAATGTTTGGAGGCAAACAACAACCTGCCGCAGAAGAAACTTTGGGCAAGCAGCTCTTTGCTTTGTTGCTACAATGCTACAATAAGTGCTTGTCGCTTCGGCACAGCGTGGCAGGCTTGCATGCTTTTCGTTTTCCTTCCTTTCCTAGCTGATTATTGTGTGATGGTGCCAGCTACATTCTGCTGCTTCAATTTCCAGTTTTACATTCCTACAGCAGCAGTCTTCTTCCGCAGCAAACCGCTTTGCTTTGTTCATGAGGGTATGCGGCAAGTTCCGTGTGATCTCTTTGATCCAGTCTGAACATCCAAGTCAAGATCTCCTTTTCTAGAGTAGAATTGCCAACTCGCTTCAATACCACCAAGCGGCCCTTGTAAACATGCATCAGAGTGCGATGCATCAGAGTGTGCATTCGATGACTGACGGACAACTGAAGATGGCGGCAGGCTGGCATCGTGTTGCTGCAGGAACTTCTTGATCAAGGTGCAGATTTGAGCCGCTCTTACATTCAAACACTTGCGTTATGTTCTTGCGAAGGTCCCAAACCTGATCATGTCACCTTTGGAGCAAGCATTCATGCGTGTTCCTTAGTCGTTGTCCGATTTTGCTCTTGTCAATTTAATAAGTGGTTGAGGCTATTGGGGGAAGTGAAAATGGTCCCAAAGGCCAGACCGACAAGGAATTCAAAAGGAGAAGGGGAGATCGCAGAATTGCAAAAAAGCGAAGACTTGAAGAAATGACAGTGGCAAGATGAAGATATCGAAGTGCACCAGGGCACTGCTGTGCTTGTGTTGGACTCTTGCACATTCCTGCACTCTTTTCAACTGGTGCCCCAACTCAGACAGCAGGTCCATGGGAATGTGCTTTGGCTTTGCTGCAGGCTGACATCTTCATTTGTCAAAAGACATGACAAAGGCAATTACAAAGTCTACATGCCAAAGGCCCGACGGCAGAGTCCACAAAGTACATTCGAGTCCAGGCGATGCCAAGCTGCAGAATAGAGCCAAAGGCTGCTATCTTCAACGTTGCTGACTCGGGAGCCTTTGGATTTTTTTGTTTGGTAAATCACATCCAAAATCCATGCCAAAGGATCTATTGGAAGCGATTCATTTTTGGAAAGCTGCACAATGCCAAAGAGAACACGAGGAGCTCATTATTTCCCCAAGAGCGTTGGCTTAGGCGTTTCAGGCCGGATAAATGCTCAGTCAGTGCGGTTTCCGGTGCGGGTTCCGGGCTGGTTTTAGGAGGTTCTGGGAGGTTCCTGGAGGTTGTGGAGGTCCCGGTAAGGTTTCTGGTTCCAGAGGTTGACGTGGCGGTTCTGGAGATTCCAGTGCGCGTTCCAGTCTGGTTCCGGACGTTCCGCGTGGTGGTTCCGGCGTGGTGGTTCCAGAGGTTTTGGTGTGCTGGTTCCGGTGTGGGTTCCGCTGTGGGTTCCGGGATGGTTCCAGATGATTCTGGAGACTTTGGATTTTGGTTGAGATTGCGGGGTGGTTCCGGGTTGTTCCGGAGATTCCAGCGTGAGCTCCGGTGTGGGGGTTTCGGTGCCTGGGATGGTGTTCACTGGCTGCTGTAACACTTTCTTATCATCTTTGCTGTTGGAGATTCCTGGGCTTCTAACTTTCTGACGAGTGAACCAACCTTGATGCCAGTTCGTCGTTTCACTGAGGCTACAATTCGGGTGCTCGAACGTGCTGGACTCTGGAAGGAGCATGGCTAGAACACGAAAGCAAAAGTAGAATCTTCCTTGCCAGCACTTACCAACTCTTAGCCACTTCAAAGCTGAGATGCTACACCCTTTCTGAGAGCACGATTTGAGCTCCGTAATTATTGAGCTTCCGAAAACAATGTGCAGGAGGCCATCCATCTTTTTGCGACCATGGATAGTAGCGCAGACCTCAAGAAGAAGAAAATGTTTCTATTTGCACTTGCTCGTAGTGGTCGACGATGCTCTACGCAATGCTTTTTGCTTTCAAACAAACAAAATTACCAGGCAGCGCTTGTTCAGACCTCATCAGTCAGAATCCCAAACGCAATAGGAAGCCTTGGCAGATTCGAAACGAAGACTCTGACATCTCTGACCTTCAGATCAAGGCAGACTGGACGACTTTCTGATTGCCACCGGTCACCTGAGTATTTGCACATCATGAGGCCTCAATGCGACCATCACCGCCTGCACCAACAATATACAGTGGGAGGCCGCGGTGGCTCTTTTGGACAAGGCGCTTGTCTGCTCAGAAGCTGTAAAATATCATCAAACAAGAATGTACAAAAAATATCAAAAAAGCAATGCTCCTTCAGTGCAGGCCACGATCCAAAATCATCTCTCTCGATTTCAGTGAAGCCCTCAAGCCGTGACATAAGCACTTTAGCTTCGTAGTACTGATTTGTAGATGACGTCCGATGAAATGCGCCGGGTCCCCTCACTAGCACGGGAGTCTTCTGAAACTAATGCTCGGAATGTTCTCCAGGTCAAATAGACAACGATCAACGATCAGCTACAATGCGACCATTGTTGGCTGTGGTCGTTAGGCTCTTGAAAGATTTGAAGCATTTTGAAGCATTTTGAAGCTGTATCATGCTTTTTTTCATGCTTTTTTTCATGCTGTATCTTTTGTTTCAAGGATGCCACTGGATTGATGCACACGGGTCACACGTGCCGAGGCTCCTCGCAATGGCAGAGAAGCTTGTCACTGTTGGAGGTGCATTCAGAAATTCAGAAGTCTAATTTTTTTGTCGTGCCGACATACTTTCTGCCAAGCGCAGCCAAGCGCAGACAGACAAGTGGATCTTAACAAGACATCATGGAGATTCATCGATCAACCTGCAGTCCTCCACCGCTGTTTCCGCGCTTCAATGCTCTTCAGACTTAGTCTACTTAGTCTACTTAGTCTACTCAGTCTACTTAGTCTACTTAGTCTACTTAGTCTACTTTCACTGTGGTTATTTCTCCTTGCCGAGGAGTTGAGGCTGCGAGTGGCAGCTACTGTAGCCAATATGCCGTATGTGCCAGGCCGGAGTTTTTGATGTATGG